AATGTATATTGAACTTCCATATGGGGGAACGTTGCTATGGGGAGTTTAATTCCACTCATATGGTTAACAGCCAGAGGTGTAACTATGCATGGAGGGGCCACCTAGGAAAACCTAGCTCTCCATCCCAAAAGCAATCCTTCAGGTGGTACTAAATACGATTAGCCTTTATAGTATATAGTATTATATAGTATTATATAAAGGTTCCCAAACTGTACAATATTCATTTTCTCCAAATGTATTTGCCAACCGGTATTGCTCCATACTTAAATCACTGTGTAGCCCAAGGGCTCCCAAATTCTTTAAACAAAGGGCCTGTCCTTCAGACATTTTGGGGTTCAGGCTGTGGCCAGTAGTAGTAGAAAATGCCCCTGGCATCAGTGGGAGCAAACAAAGCCCAGAGTTGGTGGTCAGTGAAAGTAAAAACATTACCTAGCACCTGTGGTCATTGTGGTCATTAGAAGGAATAGTCCCCTATTGGTGTCAGCTGACTCTAGGAGGGTGGCCCTGAGGTTATGGTGACTCTAAAAGGTCCTAGAGTTATGATGTCTCTGAGAGGTCCTAGGGTTATGGTGACTCTAGGAGGGCGGCCCTGAGGTTTTGGTGACTCTAAAAGGTCTTAGAGTTATGGTGACTCTAGGAGGGCGGCCCTGAGGTTATGGTGACTCTAAAAGGTCCTAGAGTTATGATGTCTCTGAGAGGTCCTAGGGTTATGGTGACTCTAGGAGGTTCTAGGGTTTGAAGAATTTAGAAGGTCCTAGCATCATGGCGACTTCAGTAGGCCTTAGAGTTAAGTTGACACTAGGAGGTCTAAAGGTTATGGTTTCTCTAGGATTATGGTGACATCAGGGGGGCTTAAAACTATGGTGACTTGAGGAGGTCTTATGGTTATGGTGACTCTAAGAGGTCCTAAGGTTTTGGTGGCTCTAGGAGGTCTCAGAGTTATGGTGACTGAAGTAGGTCTTCAGGTGTTGGTGACTCCAGGAGGGCTTAGAATCATGTCAGCGGGAGGAATAGTGCCCCATGGGCTGGAAAATACGCATACAAAGGACAGCAATACGCACGAGGCTCAGAGTTTGGGGACCCCTGGTGCAGCCATACAGCGCGGGGCATAGGGTTGCCACCTGTCCAGGATTGACCCGGACAGTCCGGGTTTTGAATGCTGTGTCCGGGTTTCATGGCAGCAGAAACCCGGACACAAGATGTCAGGCAGACAGGGGCAACCAAATTTAAGATAGGGGCTACTAGCCACCCACTGAAAATAGTCTCAACTGTTATAATTACATATGAATGTGCGGCGCTATTATCAAACGAATAAGCCACAACTCATTCTCCCCCCCCAAAAAAATGTCAGCGCGTTGCTAGAGTGTTCGGGTTTCGCTTGAAGAAAAGGTGGCAACCCTAGCGGGGCACCTTAGCAGTCACATGGCCTGCAACAGCTGCAGCAAAGCCCTCGTTAACAACATCACAATTCCGTCTGGTGCATAGAACTAATTATTATAGATTTTGTAAACTCAAATTGTTTTAGTGGGAAACACTCGCTAACTGATGCAAACACATTTAAACCCACGTGAAGCGAACAAATGCTAAAATGTTAAAGTGTATGTATAGTGAGATCTGTCTTGCTCTAGATGGAGCTGGGACAGGTTAGACCCGATGGGGAGGTTCCCCCCTCTATTTGTCCTGGTGACCATTGCCTTGGGGGAAAAAGTGATGGGAAATCCATAATCTTAGAGTTGTCACCAGAACTAGAGTTGAAGGTAAATCTTCCCGTGGGGACACCTGTTCCAGGGACAGGTGTGTAAGAGGAGAATTCCCTTCACCATGAAGAGATTTCCTCCCAATTCGTCTCGTGTCTCTAGGACAGGAAGTGAAGAGAAATCCCCAGGTCCAGCCAGCAAACTGAAGGGGTTTTACCCATTCCCTACTAGATCCAAAGCTAGGAAAATAAGTCTTAATTATAAATACACTTCAATACAGATAAAGTCACATAAGCTTAAGTAAAACATGCATGAAAATGAGACAAGAACACCTTTATCAACATATCATGAAGCACTTCAGCGATGGGGAGGTGGGCCCGGCGATCGAGGAGGAGGAGCCCAGTGACGGAGGAGGCGGGGCCCGCAAGCGATCGTGGAGGAGAAGGAGGCGGACAGAGGTTCGGCTGGACAGGTAAGAGAGCTTGACCGCTCAGCTGAGACCCTGAACCACCATAGAGAGTCTGTGGTGGGCTCTCCAGGGTCACCCTCAGGTGGGCTGTTTGGGTTATCAGGTGGACTTATCTAGAAATCACAGGGCCCTATACAAGATTTTGCTATGGGGCCCTGTGATTTCTAGTTACGCCCCTGACACAGGGAGGCTAAATTATGAAATCATTGCAATGCGGATTATCTCTGCTGGGAGACGTTACTGTCACTTTCTCTCTCTTTTATATATATATACACACTGAGTGGCCGGATTATTATGACCCCCCCTCCCCCCATCAGTACTTGGTTGGGCCGCCTGGTGACTCCACGAGATGATGAAAGGTGATGCGAGGAATCTGACACGGCGCTGTTGCCCTTCTGTTGTCTTGTACCAGTCTTGCCCCTCCCCCGTTCTGCCCCCACATTGACTAGTCGCTGACGGCCACAATTCGCACGTTCAGACCCAGATTTTCGGCTGACAGTCCGGTCTTTAAACACTTTAACAATGAGCC